ACAATACTGTCTTCGAGTTGCACAAGAAACTTGGGCCTATCGTCCGCATGGGGCCCTACGAGCTCAGTGTAAATTGTTATGAGGATGGTTTGAAGACGATTTATACTGGTGGCTTTCCAAAAACAGATTTCTACACCAATAGATTCACGAACTATGGGTAAGAGTGCCTATCAGTTTCTTTGTCTCAAGAATAACATTTTGACCATTCAACAGCCATGGGAATATGTTTACGATGATCGATAGCAAAGAGCACTCTCAGCGCAAGCGGATGTTATCACATATATACTCTAAAAGCGTTGTGCTGTCTTCGCCAACAACAAAAGCTACCACGCGTGCTGTTGTCTTCGACCGTCTTTTACCTATTTTCCAAAAAAGTTCTGACACCTCGGAACCGGTCGAGGTCCATAAACTCAATTATGCTTACGCCATGGACTCTTTCATGACGTATCAATTTGGTCTCGAGTTAGGAAGCAATCTCATACAGGATGTTGAGAAACGAGAGTGGTACCTTCACCATTTCTTCGGCCGCCGGCCCTGGCTATTCTGGACGACAGAATTACCAAGGTTCACGGATCGACTATTAAAAATTGGTATAAATCTGGTGCCTAAGTGGTGTGACGAGTCGACTACTCTATTAGAGAATTGGAACTTGGATATATGTGATAGGGCAGAGAAATTATTATCAGATGAACCCAATATCAACGAGCACGATCCGGCAAGGTGGCCAGCAATTTATGCAACCGAGCGACAAAAGTTTCAAGAAGCGGATATCAAGTCTGGTCACATTCGAACCCACCAAGCCTATCCAAGAAGATTGGAGATTGCCAGTGATATGTATGATCACAATGCTGCCGCTCATGAAACCAGCGGCGACACTCTCACATGGCTCTACTACGAGATGTCTCGTCGACCAGAGTTGCAAGTCAAGTTGAAGGCCGAATTGATGACATTATCGCGGCAGATAAGTTTTCCATTGCGCGAGAATGATGAGCTGCCTGATTTTAGAGAGATTGATGGCCTTCCTTTGCTTGATGCAATTCTGCAAGAGACATTGAGGCTGTGGGTTGCTGTGCCCGGAGGTCAACCTCGCATTACTCCCTCCAACGGATGTAGTCTTGCTGGCTATCATGACATACCTGCGGGCGTACGTGTGCAGTCTTCGGCATATACATTGCACCGCAATCCTGAGGTTTTTCCTGATCCTGAGGTCTGGAAGCCGGAACGTTGGCTCGATGCTACCCCTGACAAATTGACGGAGATGAGGCATTGGTTCTGGGCATTCGGTAGTGGAGGAAGGATGTGTATCGGGAATAATATCGCCATCCACTGTAAATTGAAAAGCCAACCCTGGAGCTCACTTGAAGCTTGACTAACCGTGTTAACAGCTATGAAGATGGCAGTGGCTTCCGTCTATAGTCTTTTCAATACTCATATTGTGGACGCAGATGGCATTGAACAAGCTGAAGGATTCACGGCTGGTCCCAAAGGTAACAAACTTTGGCTGCAATTCGAACGTATTTAGAGAACTAGGAATTCTAAAGTAAAACTCACCTGTTACGCTTCTAGGCCTGTTGTTTAATCTACTGACATGCTTTTTTCTTGGCAGGTAGTCAAGGGCATGGGTTGTTAGTGTAGTGGCAAGATGAAAAACTTTAGTCATTCTGTTCACTCAGAGACTTTGCATTACCTATATTCACCCTCCATACTATGCAACCTCTTCTTGTTCATATCTAGGTGCCTTCTCGCCAGCTTTCCATTTATAGTGGCTACCTGGATGGTCCTCAGGTAATCGACGTGTTCCAATAAACACTTCTCGTGCGGTAACGCCTTGCTTTTCGACTGTAGTTCTAAATCGACCGCGTCGTTGCAACTCCGGGATCAAATACTGGATGATGTCTTCGAACGAGCCAGGATTGGTGATGTGAGCCAAATTGAAGCCGTCTACGCCAGAAACCTCTATCCATCTCTCAAGCTCGTCCGCCACGATCTGGGGTCCCCCAATTATCTTTCCCCCCAATCCTCCTATACTTAAATACTCTACTATTCTCCTCTTCGTCCAAGGAAGATTATCTGTTCCCGGTACCGTAGAGGCCCATCGCCTTACGATAGACTGAACTCTAGGAGAATCACTAAATCGGAAGTCATCGTCATCGTTATAGCCAGAGAGATCTACTCCCGTCCATCCACCGAAGAGCGCTAGGGCCCCCTCGGTATCAGCATATTTGAGATATTCTTCGCGCTTCGCCTTAGCGTCTTCGTCTGTGGCTGCTACAATGATATTGATCCCAACAATCACTTTAATGTGATTAGGGTTACGCCCTTCACGCTCTGCAACGCTGCGGATGTTGTCTACGGTTAGCTTGACGCCCTCAGGTGTTTGGCCACCAACAAAGATAGCCTCGCCATCTATGAATCTGGAGTCAGTAATTACCTTCTAAGGACATTGAAAGAGTAGAGAAATGCTGAATAGAGATATTTCGGAAGTAGATATCCAGTTTGGGACTGTGCCCTTGTCTCTATTACTCAAAACATGGGTAAAAAGGGTGAAGATAAACTCCAGAAGGTGCTTACGTTTTCCTCCGAATCCATTGCCGGATTCAGAGACTCCAGCTTGGAAAAGAAATGGCGTTCGTTGTGGAGATGGCTCGCAAAAGTGTGGTCCAGGCACTTCAAAATATTTGCCTTTGTGATTGATTTGTCGAACTGCATCACTGGCAATATAGATACCCTGTTCGCGGTTCGCTACGACAGCGTCATCTCGAAAACTACCCTCCCATAGTTTGTAAAGAACCTCCATATATTCGTGAGCAATGGCATATCTTTCGTCATGAGGTATCTGCTCTTTCAGACCGTGGTTCCTTGCAGCACTGTCCAGATAAGATGTGACGATGTTCCATGCTATACGGCCTTCGCTCAGGTGGTCTACCGTAGACAACCTTCTCGCAAGTGCATATGGTTTCTCATATGTTAGGCTCGCGGTGACCCCAAATATGAGGTTTTTCGTGGCTGCCGCCATGGCTGGGACCAGATATAGTGGATCATTGACAGGAAACTGCGCTCCAGAGGCCAAGACCGGCACCACATTCGCTGGTCCTTTGTAGACATCGTATGGTCCTAGGGTATCAGCTATGAACATGGCATGAAATCCTGCCTCATCCAAGAGTTGAGCCAACTCGATCCAAAAGCTAAGCTTCTTGTATTGGTCGGTCTTATTCCTGGGGTGCTTCCAAGCACCGGGAGCCAGATGACCTGGGGTATTCATAACAAACGCATTGAGGATGATCTTCTTCTTGCCATCGGACTGGCTGTCAATGCCGGCAGTAGCCGTGGCGTCGGACATTTTATCTGAATTAGAGGTGCTTCACGTCGTGGGAGAATAAAATTATCGTGGGGCCAGACTCGGGATGATATCGAAGTTTTAGCGATGATGGATAAAATCTGAATATTATCTTTTCTTGTGTTAATCTATTGTGAGATATCGGCATCCCCTCATTGTTCTGTAAAAACAATTTCAAGCATGCATCACGCCATACTGCATGTTCACTGACTTTCTATTCCTTCTTTGTATGCTGACATCTTCAGTAGCGGCAAACCTCGGCAAGCATGCCACTACTAGAACTCGAATTGTTGCGGGTGATTCTGCCGTCATTTTTCCCTAGTGGCACGCAATCCGTGCACATTATCACCGCTAACAGCAACTTCTACCTCGATTGCACACTCCAGCCAATCCAGAAAGCCTCATAAACCTGTCGATCAATGGGTCTCATGTATGTTTCCTTCCCCAACTACACAGCACAGAGATAAGGGAAATTCTGGAACAGTTATTGCGGAACTCTGTGGGTGCATATGCGCCTCCGGTGTTCGGTAGACTCTTCATGTCATAATCATAGAGCGAAACGTCGTGATCAGCAATGCCACTTTTACTTAGCTAACCGGCCTGAATGGGGGCAATATAAAGGGAGGCTTGACACACACTCTCGATGATTCTCATAATAGTGACTTGCCAAGAGTCTAAAAGGCTTCGAGGCTAGAATTCGAAGCATTGTTTCAGCAGGTGCTATATCTCACGACCCACTTTAACCGTAGAGTTACCGACGCCGAGCAACCGCCATGTCAAATCTCGCACTTGGCACGCATGGAGTGACCCTGGTTTCACAAGGAACAGGGTATGGACTACTCATTGGCCTTGGTGTAGCGTTTTGCGGAGTGATCTTGGCTGCTGTCAAAATCCAGCGAGCGTATCTTGCCGAGGACTCAGCAACCTCTGAGATGTTCATGGTCGCCAATCGCTCTGTGGGGACAGGTTTAACGGCATCAGCTGTCTTCTCCTCGTGGATGTGGATCAATGAAACGGTATTTGCGGCAGCGATGTGCTATCGTTACGGGCTGGCTGTTCCGTTGGTGGGTGTTCGGAGATACCCCTTTTGACTTGGTCTTGTGGAATGAATCTTGCTGATGCTATCTATCTCTTCTCAGTGGTGGGCTTCTGGTTTATGTTTTCAAATTGCTTTAATGGCAGCTTTGGGGGTTCTAGCCAAGATCCGCGTTCCATATGCACACACTTCTCTTGAGATCATCAGGATGCGCTATGGCAAGATTGGGCACCTTGTCTTCATTGTCCTGAACATTACGAACAATGTATTTGGCTGCGCGTCTATGATTCTGACTGGATCACAAGTGATATTTGGGATCTCGGGCATGCACTTCGTTAGTGCCACGATCTTGATCCCGCTCGGAGGTAAAGTAAACTTAGCTGCAACGTGCCAAAAGCTAAACTAACACATCATCAAGTGGTCTTATATACTGCAGTAGGCGGATTAAAAGCCACATTTATCACAGATTATTTGCATACAACTGTTGCCCTCATCCTCATCATTTATTTTACTCTCGCTATCCTTACTCATGACGCTGTTGGGGGGCTAGGAGGGCTGTACGACAAAGTCATGGCCACGGCTGCGGAGAACTACATTCCTGGTAATTACCAAGGGTCACTATTGACCATGAAGTCAAAGAATGCTATCATCTGGGGTCTAATACTCAAATTTGGTAATTTGGCCCTTGTGGTGATGGACACCGCATTCTGGCAGAAGTCCTTTGCGACTGAAGTGAAGGCCACCGTACCAGGCTATAATCTAGCGGCAGCGGCGATTTTCGGCATCCCCTGGGGTTTGGGAACAGTGATCGGACTCACTGCGCGAGCAATCCATAATACGCCTATTTTCCCGACCTACCCTGGCGAGTTCACCCAAGCGGAAGTCAATGCTGGCTTCGTCATGCCATACGTGATCAAAGCTCTTATAGGCAACCAGGGCATCGTTGCATTCTTTGTTCTTCTGTTCATGGCACTTACCAGCACTGTGTCTTCCTCGATGATTGCTGTTAGTAGCATCTTGTCTTTCGATATTTACAAGACATACATCAATCCCAAGGCTACAGACAAGAAACTTGTCCAAGTCAGCCATTACGCCGTAGTCTTTCATGCTGTATTCATCACTGGAATATCGCTGGCGTTAAATTACGGCGGTGCTGATATGACATGGTAAGCAAGGCAAATGTGCTAACTTTGTTCTTTCCAAACCATTCGTATGCATTCTAAAGGCTTAACCCCAAGTCATAATTGGGATGAACTTTAAGACCATCTTTGACCGTGCGCCCTTTTGTTTCTGATGAGACAATAACTAATACAAATTGTTGTAGGATTGGTTACTTCAGGCCTATTCTCTCCTGTCCTGGTATTATCCCTCTAGCATTGACTCTTTGCTGGTCTGGCCAAACACGCCTAGCTGCTATTCTATCGCCCGTTCTCGGTTTCTTCACGGGTCTTGCTATTTGGCTGGGAACGGCTAAGGCGCTGTATCACGATATCAACATGGCCACGACAGAACAAGGTCTCCCGGCACTCTATGGTGCATGTGGTTCCCTATTCTCGCCTGCTATTTACTCCGTCATTATCTCGCTGTACAAACCAACCAAATTTGATTGGCGGCAGTTCTTGCGCATTGAACTCGCTGACGAGGCTCAGCTGCATGCAGATGATACGCCAAAATCGCCATCCTTGTCCATCGACGAAAAGAAGAACACTCTCGACAAGAGTGATGATAAAGTTCTTTCTCAACAAACAAATGGCGGTGTTTTCGTAAGTGCTTCGTCTAATGAAACTGTTCAGCCACTGCCTTCCGATTCAGAGCAAGGCGCTGCAATAGACGAGGACAAGAAGCATCTACCCGACGTCACGCGCTCCACGGATTCCTCTATCAGCATCAGTCTTGATGAAGTTCGCCACCCTTTTAGTGAGGAGACATTACAGGAGTTACACAGGTGGTACAAGATTGCGTGGATCATCTGGATTGTCATTGTGCTGGTCACTTTCATTGCGTGGCCTATGCCTTTGTATCGCAACTACATATTCACAAAGTCCTTCTTCTCTGGATGGACTACAGTCGCCATCATCTGGCAATTCTTCGCCTTCTTTGCAGTGGTAGTCTACCCGCTGTATGACGGTCGTTACGAGATTCTGACGGGTGTTCGGGGTGTTTACAAGGCTACTAGATCATTCTTCAAACATGCAAGGCGCGAAAAAGCGTGAGGACACTGAGATATTGGCTGGGTTGCAGCAGATAGTTGAGCAGGTCTGGGCGGCTACGATTGTGGCTGCAAATTGGCAGATACAAAGTAGACCGGCGTCTATACACAATGCATAGCAAGTTCAGATATATTCTATCACGACCAAAAGGTGAAGAAACTAAGCAGCAAAATGACCAGTCAAGTGTAGATGGAGAATGGGTAACTTACCAAACTTCGCACTCGAAGTATGCCTGCCGTGAAGATAAGAGTGCTAGGTTGGTTAATGCAGTGTGTTGCTTGCCAATGGTACCAAGATTACATTCTATCCACTGAGTTTTACGTCGGCCACTAATATTAGACACTTCAAATCGCCTAGCCCCTCGGCGTTCTAGGCTTGATTTGAGGTTCCTAGTCACTTGCTAGAGGATGACTCGCTTGGCCACTAGAGCCCTGTGCCGCGCTGGCGGATACTGGGTGGGATAGAAGATGGCCATTTGTCATCAATGGATCACCCGAAGCCAGATTGGCTGTTGAACACACCAGCAACCCGCATCGGGTCAGCTCACCGTTGACCTCCGTCGCTCATCTTCGGATTGATGGAGACAGTTTAAACATCATTTTCGATTTGTGATTCAATCATGGCTGCAATGCGTTTCGTTGCTACGCGAGGGTCCGCCTCAGTGGATTGCATGTCTGATTACCCGACCACAAGATTGGCGTTTGTCAATATTGCAAATCCCGATGAGATCAAAGATGCAAAGAAGCAGACCAGAATCCGCCGCCATGTGATGAAGAAAATTGGACTGTCGAGAAGACGAGGCGCCTCGATACTAGCTACGAGACATTCACAAACCATATCTCAAGCCACACCCGCCTTCATTCCCAAACTGCCCCAACTATGCCCGTATTGGCAAAGCATTTTCCTGGGAATTGATCAACTCGATGATAGCTCGCTGAAACTCTGTCTAGGAGATGCCGCCATTGAATTTGCGCAGACCGATGACTACAGAGCGCAATTGATGGGGCATGACGACGTTGTCACAAGCCTTATTCGATATAATAAGTCAATCGAAATCATCAGGCATAGCCTTAGTCTTTTCAGTGAAGGATCCAAGGTTCAAGCAGCCATCGGGACAATTATTGGGCTAGCTTTCTATGATGTAGGTACCTACAACTACGATATCTTTCGCACTACCTGTATCGATATTCTGATTCTCCTTATACATAGATGCGAGTTCGTAATTTTTCACGATGGACGATGCATATGGATGGCCTTCTTCAAATTTTAGATAGCTTTGATGGTATCGAAAATTTACCATCTTCTCAGGAGCTTCAATTGGCTTTATTTTGGTATAGCCTACGCTCTTTTGACTTACAGTCTAGGACTAACACTTTAAATGCAGGGTCGAGGTTTTCGGTTCACTGATCATAGATGCACCACCGCGATTCTCACACTTGAGAGTTGCGTTCCCGCGGGAACCCGCTTCGACCAGCTCTACAATACAACAAAAGATTTGCCTCATCTGCCGGACAAGACTGCCGCTGTTGCTCGATCTTAGCAATCTGTTAGTACCTTTGTCGACTCTGTCAAAACAGATCACGATACTTGCAAATAAGGCACCCACTGCCAATCTCCTCCAAAGCACAACGTATTGGGCTCAACTGCTGATTTCGCTGGCACACGATCTCCTTGCTCTGCCGAGATTTGACTCCAAAGACGATGTTAGTCACGAAACAACAAGCCAAATGGCAATGAGAGAAGCGATCCGAGTTGCTGCACTGATCTTTGTCTCTACTATAATATGTCGATGCTCCGGTGATGAGCTATACTGCGCTCGTAATTATCGAGGTCGAGCGCGGAATGTATTGACTGCAACAAATGACTCTGATTGGGTTGGTCTCAAAGAGTTGAGACTTTGGGTTCTCATTCTCTGTGCGATGGTTGAGGATGATCGGACGTGGTTTGTAGAGCAGATTAAGCACACCATGCGTGATTCTAGGCTGGATACTTGGGATGAAGCACTTCGAACGCTGAGCCAAATTGCTTGGATTGACTCCTTAACGGCAGTTGATGCTGCCACACTGGCCTTGGAAGTCGAAGGGTGCCTCATGGACTACAGTTGAGTGAGGCATCAGAGCCAGAGTAGCATGGCCGCGTGCTGCTGGTAGCGAGGATCAAGCTTTTTTGACTTTGATAGATAGGAATAGATGAGATGACTCGGGGAGAACAAGGCAAAACAACCTCA